GCTGCAGAGCGTAACCGCCCACGTAGACGGAAAGTGCTTTTCCAGCATCTAACCCAACCCTCCCTTGCTGCTGATTACACTTGGTCTCCTCTCTTCAGCGGCCTGCAGAACGATGCTGAGGTTCAGTCCTACTGGCTGCTCTTAGGAGTCTCAAATTCAATTAATCTTAGGGCCAGAGACAGTCCTCAAATTTAGCTAGTTGGTCCCCCCCCCCCGATTCCCCAATCCCTCCTGAGCCGGCAGCTGAGTGGGCTTCATGAAATAACTTTTTCCAACTATTTCACTGGCCGAACTGGGGAAGTGCTCAGGCTGTAGGTGTCCCGTGGGTCGGGACACTGAGGTTCCTGCCCTAGCTGGTAGTGAAGAGTTCCCACCCCGTCAGATGGTCATAAGAACATAGGAACCACCAGACTGGGTCAGACCAAAGGCCCATCCAGCCCAGTGTCCTGTCTGCCCACAGTGGCCAGTGCCAGTGTCCCTCAGGGAGTGAACAGAACAGGGAACCCTTGTGATCCCTCCCCTGTCACCCACCTCCAGACACACAGAGTCCAGGGACACCATCCCTACCCAGCCTGGCTAACAGCCATCGATGGACCGAACCTCTATGGATCTATCTAGCTCTTTTTTGAACCCTGTTAAAGTTTTAGCCTTCACCACATCCCCTGGCAAGGAGTTCCACAGGTTGGCTGAGTTGAGTGAAGAAAAACTTCCTTTTGTTTGTTTTAAACCTGCTGCCTATTCATTTCATTTGGTGACTCCTAGTTCTTATGTGATGGGAACAAACATATATCTTTTCCTTATAAGCATGCATCTGACGAAGTGGGTCTTTGCCCACGAAAACTTATGCTCCAACTTTTATAAGCTGAAAAGTCCCATTCTCTTTAATCTCTCCTTATACGGGACCTGTTCCAAGCCCCTCATCTTTTTGTTGCACTTCTGTGAACCTTTTCCAATGACAATATGTCTTTTTTTGAGATGAGGCGACCACATCTGTACACAGTATTCCAGATGTGGGCGTGCTGTGGATTTATACAGAGGCAATAAGATTTTCTCTGCTTTATTCTCTATCCCTTTTTTGATGATTCCTAATGTTCGGTTTGCTTTTTTGAGTGCCGCTGCAGATGGAGTGGATATTTTCAGAGAACTAGCCACAGAAACTCCAAGTTTCCTCTCTGGAGTGGTTACAGCTAAATTGACCCCAATACTGTTGTATGCATAATTGGGATGAGGTTTTCCAATGTGCATTACTTTGCATTTATCAGCATTAAAATTCATCTGCCATTTTTGTTGCCCAAGCACCTTCTTTTGATCCCTGTTACCAGCCCTTCCTTTCAGGATGGACACTGGGTCCGATTGTGCTTTCCCCAGCACCACAGGAGGGAATGGCCGGTGGCCCCAGAAAGCGTCTTCTCTGTCCAGCTCCGTCTACAAGATTCCCTCTCTGCTCTCTGCTATGATTCTATGATAGATAGATAGATAGATAGATAAACCAGCACAAAATTGTTGAAACTGATCAGTTATTAAAAATCAAAATTTATTTAATTATATCTCAATGAATAAACAAGTGTTAAGCAAATTTTCAAAAGCAGAAATCAATTTCATAATTCGTATATATACTTTTAAAAAAGGAATCTAAAAGATATGAAAAAATTATTTTGATCTCAACCTTCCCCAAATGGTCACAACTTCCAAACATGGAAACTTTGCCCAAAACCAGGTCTTGGTTTTGGCTTTGACACGTCTGACCTCTGTTCATGTCTGGAGAGTTCCCAAGCAAAGACAGACATTATGTTTTTTGATTAAGTTTTCCCTTGCTCCTGTCATGAGTTAATAGCCCATCATGACAGGCAACCCAGGCTCTTGGGTCCAGAGCCCTTCAGTTTTGTTTTATGCTGCTCAAATTAGCTTGCAAGGCTTGAATTCTACTGAAACCCACCATTTACTGAGCACTATCCTCAGGGCTTCCTGGACCTCTCTGTTCCTCAGGCTGTAGATGAGCGGGTTGGCCAGGGGGGTCAGGACCGTGTAGAGCAGGGAGAACACTTTGTTCAGGTCTCGCAGTGTGTCAGTTCTGGGTAACACATACACAACCGTGATGGTCCCGTAGAAAACGGTCACCACCATGAGGTGGGAGGAGCAGGTGGAAAAGGCCTTTTGCCTCCCGGTGGTGGACGGGATTCGCAAGATGGCGCGAATGATAGAAGCGTAGGATGTCACGGTCAGTAGAAATGGGGGCAGGGTGAATATAAAGGACAGGGTGGAAGCCGAAAGTTCCACCAGGCGAGTGTCACTACAGGAGATGTTCAGCAAGGGGCTGAAATCACAAAAGAAATGGTCAATTTCCTTGGGGCCGCAGAAATTTAATTGTAACATCATTCCTGTGACTATGGAACTAGCAAGGAACCCGCTTGCCCAAGACCCAGCGGCTAGCAGGAGGCAAAACTTGCCATACATAATGACCATATAATGCAGGGGCTTGCATATTGCTAAATATCGGTCGTAAGACATCACGGCTAGCAGGTAACATTCGGAAGCTGCTAAGCAGCCAAAGATGTAATATTGTGTTCTGCATGCACTGAGAGAAATAGACCTGTCCCCCGTCAGGAGACTGGCCAGCAGCCGGGGCAGGATGGCGGAGCTGTAGCAGGTCTCCAAGCAGGACAGGTTCCCCAGGAAGAAGTACATGGGGGTGTGGAGGTGCGGATCGGCCACTACAAGTACAAGGATGAGGATGTTCCCAGCCACGGTCGCTGTGTAGATCACCAGGAAAAGCAGGAAGTGAAGAGGCTGTAGTTCCGGGGTATCCCTGAATCCCAGGAGGATGAATTCCGTGACCGACGTTTGGTTTCCCCCATCTATGTCTGCCATGGGTTTAACCTAGAGGGAAGAACCAAACAAATTCTGAAGGATACTTTGGAAAGCACAGAGGAAAAGGTTCCTATGTTGACATCACTCTGTTCCACGGGTGTGTCTAGACTACAGGGTTTTTTTGAAAAAACTTCCCCACATCAAGACTGCTGCTGCGTTCTTTCGAAAGTAAAACGACCGCGGAAAACCTTGTTTTATGAGGAAGAACGCCTTTTATTGAAAGTGCTCTTTCGGAAAAAGGTGCTATGTCATGCAAACGGTGCTTTTTTGAAAGAGAGCATCCAGACTGCTTGGGTGCTCTCCTTCGAAAAAGCGGCTCGCTTTTTCGAAAGTACTGGTTGTCATCTAGACACTCTCTTTCCAAAGAGGCTTGCAATCTAGACGTAGCCCACAAGCGGACTTTCGGGTACTCTCCCGGGGCTGCCTGGAAAAAGATCAACAAATGATCTGATAGCACTTTATAGACTAACAAAACGTGCTACCAGACCATTGGCTGTTTTTTAAGTTTATCCTGTGCAGACTAACTTGGCTCCCCCTTGAAGCTTCTGGGAAAGATCAGGTCTCCAGACAGCTTTGGGTATTTTTGGAGCACGTGTTGAGCTGTATTTCAGGTAAAGTCACGAACACAGAACAGCAAGATCGAAATCCCCCAATGGGGCAGGGCGGGAAACACCACCACAAGAGTAAACTTTCAGCTGCACCATGTTTTCAGGCATGCTTTCAACATGAGACCATCAGAACAGCCACGCTGGGTCTGACCGATGGTCCACGCAGCCCAGTGTCCTGTCTGCCCACAGTGGCCAAGGGGACTTTTGTCCGGATACTTTCCCCTTATTCGTTCCGAGGTCACCCTGCCATCTAGAGGAAGCCAACCAAGCAGGATCTGGATCAAAACCTTCTTCCCGATAATCTAAGCATGGCTTCCCCCTCCCCATGAGGCTGGTGCTGAGGTGTACACCCTCAAGAATGCATGGTGGGTAGGAACTACAGACTGACAGCCAGGCAGACAGATGCACCTTTACAAATGATACACATTAAACACCGATATGCAAGGTCTGAGTCACAGATGTCTTGTACCTAGGACTGGTTGAAATCATAGAAAATTGACCTTGAGGGAACTCAAGAGGTCATCGCGTCCAGTCCCTTGCGCTCACGGCAGGACCCAGCACTGTCTAGACCATCCCTGCCAGGTGTCTGTCCAACCTGCTCTTCAATATCTCCAGAGATGGAGATTCCACAACCTCCCTGGGCAATTTATTCCAGTGTTTCACCACCTGGACAGGCAGGAAGTTTTCCTAATGTCCAACCCAAACCTCCTTTGCTGCAGTCTAAGCCCCTTGCTTCTTGTCCTGTCCTCAGAGGCCACGGAGAACAAGTTTTCTCCCTCCTCCTTGTAACACTCCTCAGGTATTTGAAATGTTTGCTCCAAAACTGTTTTTCAGTGGAAGATGGAGTTTTGGCTGAAACACAATTTTGGGGAGGAGGGTGGGGGGCGGCAAAAGCTGCCTGCTGAAAACTTTTTTCGGCAAAAATATTCCAGCCATAAAACGAAAGAGTTTGGCCCCAAAATGGGAGCCGTTCTTTGCTCTTCTGACCTCTGTCGTCCTCCTTGGGCCATGGCCTTCATGAAGCCCCATTTTCCCTCACTGAAAAGGGAGCCCGGGATGGACTGTGGTAGATGGAGCCACGGGGCGTTCCAGCTCGTGGAGGACAATGGCGACTCCAGGAAGAAATGACAAATCACATTTTTAACCCCACATCTTTGGGTTTTCAGCTAATTTGTTCATGACATTGCCTAAGAGCGCAAATAATTTTGGGAGAAGGCCAATTACTTACACCCCTGCCAAGGGCATTTCACAACCATTTTGCTTAGGGGCACATGCATAAGAACATAAGAATGCCTGTACTGGGTCAGACCAAAGGTCCTTCTAGCCCAGTAGCCTGTCTGCCCACAGTGGCCAGCACCAGGTGCCCCGGAAGGGGTGAACCGAAGACAATGATCAAGCGATTTGTCTCCTTCCATCCTTCTCCAGCCTCTGACAAACAGAGGCCAGGGACACCATTTCTGTCCCCTGGCTAATAGCCTTTTATGGACCTAACCTCCATGAAATTATCTAGCTTCTCTTTAAACTCTGTTATAGTCCTAGCCTTCACAGCCTCCTCTCGAAAGGAGTTCCACAGGTTGACTACGTGCTGTGTGAAGAAGAACTTTCTTTTATGAGTTTTAAACCTGCTACCCATTAACTTCATTTGGTGTCCTCTAGTTCTTCTATTATGGGAACTAATGAAGAACTTTTCTTTATTCACCCTCTCCACACCACTCATGATTTTATAGACCTCTATTATATCCCCCTTCAGTTTCCTCTTTTCTAAGCTGAAAAGTCCCAGTCGCTTTAACCTCTCTTCATATGGGACACACCCAAACCCCTAATCATTTTAGTTGCCCTTTTCTGAACTCTTTCCAAGGCCAAAATATCTTTTTTGAGGTGAGGAGACCACATCTGTACACAGTATTCAAGATGTGGGCGTACCATAGTTTTATACAGGGTCAGTAAGATATTCTGGGTCTTATTTTCTATCCCTTTCTTAATAATTCCTAGCATCCTATTTGCCTGCAGATTCAAGGCAAGGGAAATTCAGGCCCATAATATTCTGCATATTATTATTTTTTCTGGAACAAACCAGGACCAATCTTGTGGAGTGGCCCAAGGCATTGCCTTGCTCCTTGGAAATCTAGACCAGTGGTTTTCCACATATTTTTCGTTTTCAAAGCCCCCCAACAATTTCTAATGTAAATTGTAGACATAGACTGTGGACCCCTGGAAGGCCATGGATCAGAGCTGAAAGTCACTGCTCTAGACAAACATATTCAATGAGGATGACTGGGAAGACAAATCCAGAAAGCAGTTCTCAATGGTTCACAATTGGGCTGTGGGGATCTTTCTTGGGCCAAGTCTAGCCTGCAGGCTTCTTTCAGAAGAAGCTTTTCCGGAAGAGATCTTCCAGAAAAACTTCTTCCAGAAGAGAGCATCCACGCTGCCAAAGCCCATTGAAAAATCGATCTGCTTTTTCAAAAGATAGTGTCCACACTGAATGGACGTTCTCTCGCATTTCAGCTGTGATTGCTATGGACGGAGTGGCCACCAGGGCACCTGTGCTTTTTCCTCTTCCCTCTTCTTTTGAAAGAACTCCCTCTTCCCCGTTCACACACGCCTTTTTCTGAAAGAGACTTTCGCAAAACGGCTTCTTCCTTTTACAATGAGGATGACCAATGGCAGAAAACCCCCTCCGTTCTTTCGATTTTCTTTCGGAAGAACACAATTGCAGTGTGGACGTAATTGAATTTTTTGGGGAAAAACAGCCGTTTTTCTGAAAAAAACTCTGTAATGTCGACATACCCTTGGAGAGAGATATTTATGAATATCTTCATACATGATTTGGATAACACAGGAGAAAGGTCACTCTGCAGATGGAACCAAGCTGGACACGGGCTTTGAAATCAATTTGGGGGGACAGGATTGGAATTCACAGTGATCTGGACAAACTGGAGAAATGGGCAGAGGGAAATAGGGTGAAATTGACTAAGGACAAATGCAATGTTCTCTGGCTCGGAAGGAGCCATCAACTGCACAAATTCAAAATGGGAAATTACTGCCGCTGTGCAGGGGACCGGACTGGGTGACCCATCAATGTCTCTTCCAGTCCTACTTTTATAGGATTCTATGAATGTTAAACGGTGAGACAAAGGACCAGAATCCCCAGTCCCTCCATGCTGCCTTCCCAGTTGCCAAGGGGCTAGTGAAGGGTCATGAGGCAGCTACATCAGAAACACATGGCTCTGTCCCACTTTCCTTCTCCAACCACTCCAGAGTCCCGACTCTTCACCTCCTTTCTTCCTTTTGCCCACTTGCGCTTCACACTTCCTCCCATGCTCCCCCAATGGCTGGAACATGCATCGTGTCTCTGTAGCCCAACTCAACAGCCCCCTTTGCCTTTCACACCACTCCTCAAAAGCCATCTTCTTTTAGAACCCCTCAAAAATGTGCTAATTGATAAGAAAAAGAAAGAAAGAAAGAAAGAAAGAAAGAAAGAAAGAAAGAAAGAAAGAAAGAAAGAAAGAAAGAAAGAAAGAAAGAAAGAAAGAAAGAAAGAAAGAAAGAAAGAAAGAAAGAAAGAAAGAAAGAAAGAAAGAAAGAAAGAAAGAAAGAAAGAAAGAAAGAAAGAAAGAAAGAAAGAAAGAAAGAAAGAAAGAAAGAAAGAAAGAAAGAAAGAAAGAAAGAAAGAAAGAAAGAAAGAAAGAAAGAAAGAAAGAAAGAAAGAAAGAAAGAAAGAAAGAAAGAAAGAAAGAAAGAAAGAAAGAAAGAAAGAAAGAAAGAAAGAAAGAAAGAAAGAAAGAAAGAAAGAAAGAAAGAAAGAAAGAAAGAAAGAAAGAAAGAAAGAAAGAAAGAAAGAAAGAAAGAAAGAAAGAAAGAAAGAAAGAAAGAAAGAAAGAAAGAAAGAAAGAAAGAAAGAAAGAAAGAAAGAAAGAAAGAAAGAAAGAAAGAAAGAAAGAAAGAAAGAAAGAAAGAAAGAAAGAAAGAAAGAAAGAAAGAAAGAAAGAAAGAAAGAAAGAAAGGTTGTTTATTAAAGAAGTAATGGACGTACCCTAATTCTGCACATTCTTTTCCAAATCCATCCACCCCCAATATCTGCTATTTTCTCCCCTAGCCTCCTGCCTTGACACAATTAGCTAAGTCAATACAATCTTTGTACCAAGGAACAATATCATCCTATATGAGGGCTTGTTTGTTGCACAGATGCTACGGCACTGCAGCTGTGTAATAGCAGCACTGAAGTTTTTTCCTGCTGCTGTAGTAAATGCCACCCTGGAGAGCTGGTAGCGCATGTGATGGAAGAATTCGCCCATTGACCGAGCAGTGTCTATACTGGGGCGTAGGTCAGCTTACCTGTGCCTCGCAGTGTTTCTTCACACACCTTAGCTTGGTCAACCTAAGCTTCATGGTAGACTCGCCTCAGTACTCTAATGAGTTCTCACCCACCTTCCGAACCAAAAAGACCATCTCTTCGGTGGCTCTTCAAAGCATGACCCAAAGATATGAGCCCCTATGAGTGAGCTCACAGGCGTCAACACCGCTACAGAATCCCCACGGCATCGTCTGCCTTGAGCGCCAACCTCTGGGGCTGGGGAAGCTGAAAATAAGCAACCCATCTCTCAATGCCCTCGGGTACCACCCTCCCGCTGGTTGTCCGTCCCACAGAGGTGGCTCGTTGCTCAGTGACGAGGGGTGGGAGGACTGAGTCTCAAGGGGCTTCTCAAGGCCATTGGTTCTGTGCTGATTTGTCACCAACGTGGCCTTCGCTCGCCAGGTTACTCGTGCATGCCGGGACGGCAGAAGCAAGCCCTTGGAGAGCAGGAGCAGGGCCCACATTCATGAGCTTGAATGGACCGGGAGCTCAGGGCTACTTGTGAGTCTGTCAGGCAAGGAGAGTGGATTGTAGACACCACCTGCCCCGGGACTTGTGTCACGGAGCGGTGGGGAACAGAAAGAGCCGACAGTGTCTGAAACCAAAGTCAGGTTTATTTTAACAGCAGGAGTCTGGCATTTAGAAGGAAAATCGGAATTTTAGGCCATCTAGACACACCATCTGGCTTAGCTTCTGCAGACGCCCCAATGGGTGTCGTGTCTTTGGTTTCCCTATATTCCCCTGGCAACGGGCTTTATAATTTTGCCAGCGTATGTTTGATTCTCTGCCCCCCCAGGCCTTTCCCTCTTCGGACATTGTCCATGTCCTCTCTCAGGCATTGGCTGCAACGTGGCTTGTCATGAGCCGTTCTTTCGCCTCTCCTACTTAATTACGCTTACAGTCCCTTCCTTAAGGCAAACCAGCAATGGCCAGCTCTGAACAGGATGCAGAAATCATTATGGAGATGCTCCAACTCCATCCGCGGAAGATGCTTTACTCAAACCCAAGTTACTGGGACCAGTCCAACAGTAACGGGGGTTTCTGGCCTAGGCTACACACGAGGTCCCATTAGATGAGCTAATGGGCCCTTCTGGCCATAAATAAGAGGAAGCGACGGAACACCAGAGCAATGAATATCTTAGGCTGTCAACTTCAAAAGCCTCTTTTGGCTATGGGATGCCTTGGGCCTGATGTCCAGGTTGCTGGTCACACCCACCTCCAAAAGAAGGGACCCGCACATGCTCAGAATATTTCAGAAACAAATCAAGCCCAAAAGGATTTTTCCCCGCAACAAGTCCACTACAGTTGACTGCCTCTTGCTTTTGATACCCTACTTGTGAAATGTGAGGGCTGGTTTGTTTTCGTTGAGTATTCTTCGTTAATGATCTGCAGAATGGGTTGGTTGGCACCCTCAAGAAGTTTGCAGATGACACTAAAATGGGGCGGGAAAGTAGCGAGAGAGGTAGATACGCTGGAGGGCAGGGACAGGGTCCAGAGTGACTTAGACAAATTGGGGGATTGGGCCACAAGAAATCTGATGAGGTTCAACAAGGACAAGTGTAGAGTCCTGCCCTTGGGACCGACTGGCTAAGCAGCAGTTCAGCAGAGAAGGGCCTGGGGATTCCAGTGGATGAGAAGCTGGAGACGAGTCAACAGGGCGCCCTTGTAGCCAAGAAAGCTAATGGCATATTAGGGTGTCAGCAGACTGAGGCAAGGCCACATCTGGAGTATTGCATCCAGTCCCCCTCCCCTCTGCTGTCCAGTGGAGGGCAACCAAAATGATTAGGGGGCTGGAGCACTTCTCTTACAAGGAGAGGCTGAGGAATTTGGGCTTGTTTAGTCTGCAGAAGAGAAGAGTGAGGGGGGATTTGAGAGAAGCCTTCAACTCCCTGAAGGGGGGTTCCAAAGAGGATGGAGAGAGGCTGTACTCGGTGGAGATCGCAGAACGAGCAGCAATGATCTCAAGTTGCAGTGTGGGGAGGTCTAGGTTGGATATTAGGAGAAACTATTTCCCTAGAAGGGTGGGGAAGCGCTGGGCTGGGTTCCCTAGGGAGGGGGTGGAACCTCCATCCCTAGAGATTTTGACCAAGCCCTGGCTGGGACGATTGAGTTGGGTTGGTCCTGCTTTGGGCAGGGAGTTGGACTCAAGGACTCCTCAGGGCTCTTCCCACCCTTGGATTCTATGAAAAGGACCACCCCTCCTATCCCACTATCCAGGGCCGGCCCACGACATTTTGGCACCTGAGGCGGGGAGCTCAGATGTCGCCTCCCATGTCCCCTCGCTTGGGCCAGCAGCAAACATAATTTTCTACACTCTGGGTCCTAGTGGTGCCCCCCACAGTCTGGCACCTGAGGCGGCCGCCTCAGTTTGCCTCATGGTAAGGCCAGCCCTGTCGCTATCAGAAATTATTTAGGCCTTGAATTGTGACCTCGATTCTGTCATGACTGGCACGACATCTGCCCTCTTCCCCCCAGACAAATAGCAAACGTGTACATGCCGGGTGAGAGTTCCCTATCTGTCTAGGGGATTTAGACACCCACGCCCTACCAGTTTTAATGGGAACAAGGTGTTCAAATCCCTTAACGGTTTTGAACACGTCTGCCTCCGTCTACATGAGAGTCTATTTTACACTGAAAAAGTTAAGCACAAGAAAGAAGGAACAAAAGCAAGAGCGGCGCGTGTATCTCCTCATTCGCCGTTCGCTTCCATAGTGAGCGCAACGTGTTGGATGTCCCACGAAGAGGCCAAGCAGTTTAGATATCTCAGTTCAATGGGATGCTTGAACGCACGTTCGTTGGTGAGCCCCCGGGAGGATTCTGACTGAGTTCCAAGGGACTAAGAAATTGCTTCACAACTAGACGTGCGCATAAGGACCTTGTAGAATGGGAGCCTTGAAGTGCAATACGCACACGGAGATTTTTGCCTAGGACAGGTTTATTGTCAATAAACAAAGGCACTAGATGTATTGTCTGAAATGGCTACTTGGGAGTAGTAATAACTGATCACGCACAAAGGCCTATGTCCTCTCCAGATAGAAGCAGGCTTTGAAACGGCCTCCTCACCTCACAAAGCACAAATCAGTCACCGTCTCCTGAAAGTTAGGGTGATGCAGTCAGGCATTCAAAGGGAAGAGAGAATGGTATGCACAGTTTACATGGAGGATGTTAATGTCGGTTGTGCGCACGAAAGCTCATGATACCACCTGCATGTTGTGTTAGCCTCGCAGGTGCTGCGGGACTGTTAGTTGTTTTGTAAGTTTTGATGATGACTAAGGTCTGCTGTAACAAGCAATATGATCAGTGCCAAAACTACTCTGGATATTCCTGAAGGGATGAGGAGACAGAGCTGCACACGTATTTAACACTTAAAGTTGTGGAAAGATGTCTTCTTGCTTCCAGGGGCCCACCTCCCATTGGTGTTAAGCCCCACTAGATGCTTAATACCTTAAGAAGCCCAGCCTGAGGAAATTAGACACCCCGCACCCACTGACTCCCAGAGGGTGTCTAAGTCCCTTTGGCAGCGTTGACACATCCCAGCCTAGCGTACTGCCAGGCTGCGAAAGAATCTCCCGGTGACAACGGAAGGTGACATTGCATGTCAGGGTGGTCTGTGATGCTCATTCGCGCCTGGTGGAAGAAACTCTGAAGGGTGCTTGGTCTTTGGTTGGCGTTCAGACATTAACAGGGAAGATTTCATGGGGCTGAGAGGGCCCAAGGGGGTCTGGCTGTGGAGGGCAGGTGGGCTGACCTCTCTCAGGGTGGTTGTCAGGACAGGGGGCAGGCAACAGGTGACCTGCTTGAGAGGTAAAAGACCAGCTCAATCAAGGAGACAGTCCCAGGAGAAAGGGCCTAGAAGGAGACACCCACTATGCATGTAGGAGCCTAAGGACAAGACCGGTCTATTCTGAGTGGCAAGGTGGGTTGCTCTGATTTTGGAAAACAAACCGAGTGCATCCAGGAGCCGCTGACTCAGCCCCACCCACCGACAGTCCCCAGATTCCACCGGAACTCATTCTTCCCTTAGGCTGTGTCTAGACTACATGCCTCTGTCGTCAGAGGCATGTAGATTAGACACATAGGCAAAGTCAAATGAAGCCGCGATTTAAATGATCGCGGCTTCATTTAAATTTACATGGCTGCCGCGCTGAGCCGACAAACAGCTGATCAGCTGTTTGTCCGCTCAGCGCGGCAGCCATGTAAATTTAAATGAAGCCGCGATCATTTAAATCGCGGCTTCATTTG